CCCAAACAAAAAACAAAAACAAAAAAAATTGAAAAGGCCCGAACCGGGCACGGAACCGGCCGGGCCGGTTCTCAATTCCCTAAACCCGTACCCGCCCCCGGTTTCCCCTTCAAACCGGGCAAAGACCCGGTACCGGTACCCGGTTCCTGGGCCGGGCCGGGTGGCCCAAACTGGGTCCAAGCCTTCCAAAAAATTACTCCGTATTATTTAGTGGTGGAAGTGGAATGGAAGTGTAATTCTTGAAAATGAACTTACTGACAAAAATTCAAGGCAAGAAAGATTCTTCAGGGACAAGCTGTGTGAACATATTTTCCAAAACTAAGCAATTAAGATACAAAAAGGGTTAATTAAAAACAATAGTGTTTGGACTTTGGAGGGTGGAAATGAACAAGGCGATATGGTTTGGACTTTAGATACAATAAAAATGGAAAGGTATTTGAATAAAAGTGGGGAGAGAAAGTATTCAACAAAGTTGGATGGCATAATTACGATTAGCAGACTGTAGTTCACAACATGAAATGACATGGGAAATGACCCAATGGCCAAGAGAAATTAAAATAAAAATTATCTCTCTACGTTTTGTATAGTTCTTCACATTCTACTCTAAATTCAAACATCTAAACCGCATATCCCTCTTCAAATGCGCCCCTTGCTTCATATTCATTATCTAAACTTTAAACATTTCACTACTAAACTCGCCCTACTACTTATTGCTTGTGTTCATTGCAAGAATTCCCACATGCTCATTCCAAATAGGAAAACTTATTTCTAAGCATTGTTCTTTCTAGTCCATCCAAGATCCATGTAGGTGTTCATCCAAGGTGACCTTAGATTCCCAGAACACCAAATGGACTTGTCGGGAAGAAGGGGACATGTAAGGTTAAGGTATGTGAATACAAGGATCTTATAAATCTAACCATAGAAGTTCAGTTATAGTGCATGTTTGGCAAACATAAGTCTCAGGCTTCTAGCTTTTGTACTGCTAAAAAAGTCTTAAAAACTTCTAGTTGTATGTTTGACGTGACAATTTTTAGGAGCTTTTCAAAAATTAAAAGATCGTTTTTGAGATGCTAGCAGGAGTAGCATCTGAGAAAAGCTTATGACTTAATATTAGTGAATCCTAACAGCTTGTATCCAAACCGAACTAAATCAAACAATCAGCTATCACCTTTTCTTTTAAATATCTTTTCAATTACTAAAAGCTAACAGTTACTAAAAAGTCACAAAAGTATCTTTTCAGTTAGTTGTGCCAAACATGCCCATATATTTACTACTTTAAGATTTTTTATGCTTCACATTTGGATTTTAAGTCATAATCCTGAATTTGAATTCCTATCAAATTTGTTAATCTACTTGTGCAAAATTGGACAAAAATGGCAACACTTAAAACCATCACAAAATTATAACATATAATTATAATACAAAGTATATAATGTGTCACTTGCTTTGTCAGGTTAAAAAATTACTAATGAAGTGCTATTTTTCCTATTAGTCACTTTGTAGTGTAGGCTTTGCCTTAGGTATATACTACAAACCTGAAATAACTCTCAAACTTTAAGTTGAAAAGCATCAAAAGAGTGCCTCATAGACATCATTACAAAGACGTTGCTACCAAACTAAACTACATGACCCAATGGGCAAGAGAAATAAAAGATAAAACACTATGTTCTTCACATTTTCCCTAAATCCAATCAGCTAAACCGCACATCCCGCTTCAAATGGCACTGATTTCATATTTATTCTCTAAACTTTTCAGATTCCTTTGCTAAACTCGCCCTACTAGTGATTGAAAGACATAATACTATCTTTACACTTTGTTTAGTTCTTCACATTCTTTAAATCCGCTTCATATTTCAGATTTCATATCCTGTTTCAAATGCCCTTGACTTCACATTCATTCTCTAAATTATTCATATTTCATTGCTAAACTCAGCCTACTACTAATTGGCTCTCCACACAGAGAAAAAAAATAGAGCACAAAAACACCAAACCAAAACACAAAAAAGAAATTGAAAAAAAGCACTAAGGGGGTAAGGAAAGCAAAGAAAGAAGATCATTACAGTGCTTGGGCTTGAGGAAGCGAGGAAGTTTTCCCGAAATTGCAGAGAAACACATTTAAGAATATAGGGTATTAATGAGCGTGGAGATGGGAAACTGAATATTAGGACGCGGAAGGAACCATTGATCCAATTGCGCGAGAGGAACGAGATGTGGATGCCTAGTCAACCTGACGGCAACACATATGTACATGGTACAAATGGGAGAGATAAGACGGAAACAAAACGGAAAATTAAGTTGCTTTAGTGAAGCACATGGTACAACCTCATCAAGCTAGCTGATTACACCAACATTTTTCTAATCCCTAAAATACCCTAACCCTCATTAGCAATTATAAGATTTTAAGATATGTTATTAGTAAAGAGTGATTAAGGAAGATATCTTTTACATCGTTTATAAATAATAATAACATGCGATTAGTAGTATGCTTATAGTAATATGTGATTAGTAAAGAGTGATTAATGACAATATCTTTTGTCCTTTGTATGTAGTATGCGAGGACAGTCTCAATGGTTGGTAAAAAATAAATAAATAGAGGGAGGAATTAACATGTGGGAATTAAAGGATCTAGAAGAATAGGACATACATTACTACTTAGTCTCAAATGTAAGATTCAAAATAAGGGGAGTAAACCGTTCAGGGGTGCAGGCAGTGAACATATGAAAGTTACTTAAGATGGTTAAATTACAATGAGTGAGAAGTTTTCTAAAGCATGGTTGCTGAACTCTAAAGTTGGGTAGTTGAGAAAAGGTGGTTATTATGAGGTACAAGTTACCAAAAGAGGAAGATACTTTGTCCATACTAATTAAGAGTGATGTCATTCAAACTTATGGTTTAGAAAACCATTGGGGGTGCTAACAAATGTTTTCAGGAAAAGGGAGCAGAGTGGAATAATATCAAAATCGACTTATTAACCAACATCCTAAGTTTGAATGGCACCACTTATAAAATGCTGGAAATGAACTCATATCCAGGCCATATCGTTTTGAAACCTATATTATGCCCAGATATAGCACAACACATTAATAAAACCGGCCACACAAGGTGAAATCTAATTATCTATTGAATTCATGATGATTTGGATGGCAAAATAGATGACGCCTACACTGATTGATAATTAGCGCCAGTTTTGGTGAAATTCCTTTTGAAGCTTTTTTACAAACAAATAATAGACATCAGAAAACTAAAAAAATAGATATGAAATCTTTCATGCTTGAAAAAAAATGCAATGGCATCAGTGAGCAAACGATATACATAAATCAAACACCAAAAGTAACAATAAATGAATATTTAATTCGTAAAAAAACAAATTTAACCTAGATGGCATGAACCAAATGTCTCGTGCGATGGAGATAGAGAAACTGAACGAGATGCGGAAACAATAGAGGAGTGGCGGAGTTGCATGCCGGTCGTACGAGCGATGAAGGACATGCGGCGTCTAGGAGCGGCGGAGCGGGGAATGGTCTAGCAGCGGCAGTGCAGCGATTCATCCAGGTGTCGTGGAGATGTACGTCCTCTTGGAGCGATTACTTATGATTGCTGCATCTATTCTCCGATAAGTGCCCCCTCAAGAGGGGAATTATATTATCCTCAAGTTAGCGTTGCCTTTGAATATCAAGAGAGAATGGTGCCCCTCTGGATTCTGGAACCATTCATGACGAAACAAATCAATTGGCAGTTCAGTACGGGAGAAAACCCGTTAACGTCAAACAGACGGAAATAATGAGAGTCGAGCTCAAAGGTGACGATTACAGACGGAAACCAACGGAAAGGCAAGTATATTAATAAAAGAGTACAAAAGATAGACCCTAATGTACAACTCTATTAAGCACATGATTACACCAACATTTGTTTTCTACCTAAATTGGCCTAACCTTGATTCATGATTATAGGATTGTAAAGATTTTTTAAGGCTATATAGCCATTCTTCCCGTCACAAAATTACAGTGTGTAATTACTTTCTGTGCAAATACATTTAGGGTTTATTCCCTAAATAGACTAAATAATAACTAAATTGCATGAATGGGAGTAAAAGTTTTCTCTTCTCAAAACGGGAGTAATTAATCTCTCTATTCCAGATTTATCCTTATTGATCATTCTCACGACTCACCTCCATGTACGTGTTTAGAAATAAACGTCGTCGATGCTGGGAAGTTCATGATGGCAGCATCTACCACCGCCTATGCCATGTCCCAGCACTGCTATTGTTCATGACCAAAATTAAATGACATCTATTTTCTAAAAATGCCACTTTACATAAAAAATGACATACTAATGGCATTTTCAAAGTAAAAAATGACATTTTTCAAGAGTAAAAATGCCATTTTTCTGGCATTTTTAAAACAAAATTTGACATTTTTTGAAAAAACAGAGTTGAGAAATAAGAACAAATGGTTGCAGATCCATTTGAAATCAAAGTTGCATAAATCAAAGTTGAGGAAGAACTAAAGTTAAGAACGAGAATACAAAAATCGAAAAATAACGGCAGATTCATTTGAAGATGAGAATGATTTTAGAAACAAACATAAATTGAAGAGAAGTAAAACCAACAACACAACTTGATTGCAGATCGAGGAAGACCCCAAGGGTTCGGCGCCGCAAAACCAGATCCAGACAGAAACTCCAAAAATTGCAGAAAATTAAATGAGATCGGCGAAGAGACAGAGAGGAAGAGGCAGATCGCCGGCCGCCGCTCATCGCCTACCACTGCGAATCGTCACTTCGCCGCCGTTCATCACCGCTGCTTGCTTCCGTCTGCAAGTGCTTGCTCGATGTCGCCCAAGTCTATGTTGCACATACTAGCAACCAGACTCATTGAGTTGGTGTTTTAGCACGATTAGAATTGATTGGAGGGGTAAAATTGGAATAATAGTCCCATTTAGAGAATAAAAGATACTTTTATTTAAGAATTTAAGCATCATTTTAGTCCTATTTAAGCATCATTTTACTCTTATTTTAGTCCTATGTATTCTGGTGATGATGGCCGGATCGAGCACCCTTTATCCGCCACAGCCGATGACGACGGCGCCGGTTATCAGCCCGCATTTCGTTGTTCCCTATCCAGTAGATCTGGCCGTTGTGAGAAAGGTAATGACTCTCCAAGAAGGCAAGTTCGAAGTGCTAGACGTGAACGGGAACGTTATGTTCAAGATCAAAAGCAAAATCCTCAGTCTTCGAGATCGCCGGATCTTGCTCGACCCCGCCGACAACCCCATCTCCACTTTCCAGCAAAAGGTGAACGACTTAACATCTGATTAATCTGTGCATAAGTGCGCCGGCGGCCAAGGGGCAGCTGACCTCTGCCCCATTTCGACCCTTACGGCCAAGGCATAACTAATCTCATTTTCTAAAATTTGCCAGACCTGGGGTTTATGTGTTCCTTAAGTGAGAATAATTAAAGGGAAATTTTGTAAAATAAGAGTAAAAACTAGGGAGTATGTTAAATTCTAAAATAGGAGTAGTGTGTTTGTTTTTCAAATATACAGTAATTACATTTAGAGAAATGGTGCTAAATAGGACAAAAAAAAACTCAATGTATCTAAATAGGACCTCAATGATTTTTATACTTAAATAGGACTAAATTTTCCCTTGCTCCCTAAATTACCCCTTCCTCTGGACTACGATCAACGAGAGCCACCAGGTGTCCTTTGCACGGAGAATTGATCTTCTCCGACCCGCTCTAGGTTGTCATCTAGCCACAAATAGGATCTCGAGTACACACCTGTTGGCAAATCTGAGGATTGAGAAATCTGAATTGCTGTTGCGGATGGATGGCATTGATCTCGAATTCGCGCCTAGGGATGAAAGCAGACAACAATCCGCCCCTCTTTTTCAATTTTTTCCCGATGGTGATGCTTCCGTTTTCTTTTCCCTGCTTCCGGTCCCCGCGGCTGCACAATTCTATCAAGAGCGACTAAATCTAACCCCGGATTTGGGGTCCTGGGTTTGTGGGCGGAAAAGCTTCGAGCTTCTAGAAGCTGAGTTTTGGGGTAAAACCAAAGCCTTGAGAATAAAAATGCAGAATTGTCCATCGTCTGAGATAGAAGCTCACGCAATCCTAGGCTGAAGGGTTAAATAGGTACATGAACTAACTTAAAGTGTTCAATTAGCCCCTTACATAGGAGGTTCTGCCCGGCCGTTGCCAATTGGGGTGGTTCCCGGTTGAATTTTTTGAGCATCTTCTTCATTAAGTCTAGTTTACTCATATCAAATTTCAGCTAAAAATTAAATCGGGAAGACAGTCAAATGATTTTTCGAAATGTACTGCGTTGTTTAACTGCGCAATTATCTTCAAAAAATTATTTGACTGCCTTCCGGGTTGAATTCTTAGCTGAAATTAGGTATGGGTAAACTAGACTTAATTGAAGAACATGCTAAAAAAAATTCATCAAAAAATTCCATCAGGAACCGCCCCAATTTGGCACTGTTTGGCACTGTTTAGCACTGTTTTGATGTAGGTTTCTTTGCCAAATAAGGAAATAAGGAAGTGTGAAGTTTATTTTGGACCGTCCCAAAAAAGAAAGTGTGAAGATTTTTTAGAACCGGAGGGAGTATATTGATATTTGAACATTGCCATTGTGTTACAATCATTGAAGTCTCTTTGACATTTTCATTATTACAATGTCATTGTTTATAACATTGACATTTTCATTATTTGACATTGTGATTTTTTTCTTACATTTTGACAATATTTGCAAGATAATAATATTATTTGTTGTAACAGTGTTTATAGTTATAATATTTGACATTGTGACATTTTTTAATATCGTAACATTTTCTTGCATTTGGCAATGACATTGTACGAGTCATTCACATTGTCATCATTACAGTGTCATTATTTATAGCATTGACAATGTCACATTTTATGACATTGTGACATTTTCTCCTACATTATTTTTGCAATATCATTATCATTATCAAAATAAGATACAAGTATTTTAATAAAATATGTACTCAATAATTGTTTTCACCATTGTTAAATAAAATAATCATAGTTAAGTTTTACAATGGTAGGGGTAGACATGCTTTAATTAAAGGGTCATTGGTAGTTGGTACAACTGCTCAAGTATTAGGCTCCGTAATACTGTATTTGCCATCCATTGCTCGCAGTCTAACATGTCCAGCTTTGAACACCGACATGACGGCATGTCCTCATTTTCCTTGGCTTTGTCCTCCTATCCATCGCTCCTTCGCATATTCTGCTCCACAACATAAGCAAAAAGAGCTCTCTGGAAATTGAAAAGTCAAACAAAAATAAAAAGCTACAGTACGAAGACTTGTCATAGCAGCCTAACAGGAATATAATTACGTACATAAGAATGATAGAAGAGGAAAACGAAAGCAGCAGAAGAAGAACTGAAAGGAAAGAGGAAGAAGAAGCGAAAGATGGAGGTTGACTCCCGCCAGCGACCACCTGCAGTAGATCTGAATTAATCGCAGCAGTGATGTGCGCCTGGTGAGAAAAATTTGGTCATCAATGGGTCTCACCTTTGTCGCCGCCTTGCCGGTGAGTTGAATGGATGCTCCGTATGATGGCAGAATGGCAGCAAGTAACATTTGAAGGCAGCGTCCTTTTAGGGGTGTTTTTGTCCTTCCGTTAAAAATTAGTCTTATTTAGGTTTTAAAAAGTTCGGACTCCTATTTAGGTTCCTAAGCCTTGTTTTAATCATATTCAAAGTCTTTTTCCCTTACATTTATCTTGGGGAATCATAGTACTCGTATTTTCCTGTTGTTTTTCCTCCTCCTATGGTAATTTCCAAAATTTAGGTTTATGCAATAATGAAATTAATATTATGATGTAGAACATAGCAAGTTGGTATATGAGTTTATGTGCATTGTGCCGAAGTATCAAATTCTTGAACAAACATGATTGACGATCTTAGCTTGCTAAATCTATGTTGTAGCTTACTAGCTAGTCAAATCTAAGTAGTTAGAATCAGCAACGAATTATTTTATTATTAAGAATTTAAGATAACATGCAATTTATTTTGGGTTTTAGGCAAAAACGCTAATCTTTTTATACTACAAATGCTTCAAAACGTCAAAAACCAATGAGTTCAATCACTTCATATATGATTCAACTTGTATAAGTATTAATCAGCTCAAAATAAAACTCATAGTACATTTGAGGCTTTTAACCAACTTATTAAGAGAAGTGACTATAAGTGGAGATTTAAAAGGTCAAATACCATAATACTGCATTTAATTAGTATTTTGATTATACAAAAGAGTAGTAGATGGGTAGTTGATACAAGTAAAAGAAAATGTAACATTTCATATGCAGTACTATTTAATTCGAGAAGAATGTAAAATTTCATATGCATTAGTACGAAGTATTTAATTTGAGAAAGTTGAAGTGTTTAAACAATGTGAAAATATAAGGTTAAAATTTATTTTGGAACTACTTGTATCTCTTAAGACTCTGTTTGGAATATGGAAAATAGTAGGGAAAGAGAAAAAACTGCAGTTGTTCAGCTATTTTTATTTTTCTTGATTATTTAGATTTTTCAGACTATACATAATCCACAAGCTTAAGGAATAATTCCGATTATTTGAAGTATGACTGAATTTTCAAATTTAAATTCAACTCACTTAAATTTATTTACTTTGAACACACTTTTTATTATCTCATACTTTTTCTTTCCTTCCGAGTCTTCCTTCTATTGAACACACTAAAATTATTTTTTCTTCTTCTGTTTTCCACCTAGGCAGCTTTCACATTCGAAGTCACCCCTAAATTAAAGGAATTAAGTGAAGTGTTTTACCTTGGATTAAACAGATATTGACTGCACACAGAAGATGGGAAGCATTTAGGGGAGAAAGCACGGACTCAAAAGACCTTTTGTTCAGTGTGAAGAAGTCATCTCTTTTGCAGCTGAAGACAAAGCTGGATGTATTCTTAGCAGCGAACAGTAAAGAAGAGGTGTGTGATTTTTATGTGGAGGGGAGCTGGTTGGCGAAATCCTGTGTGGTGCATGCACGTGGAGGGGATGGGTCCTCTGCAATTGTTGCCCAGATGCACAAGAAACACACGGCTGGCAGCATACTTGCTGGAAAAGACAACTTTGGGGTGACTGTCTATCCAAACGTCGATTATGCCTTCATTGTTTCTCTTGTTGTCATTCTTGAGGAAATCAACCGAGACAGAACAGGTGAGGACTAATGGATTGATGTATGTGTGAGCTAAGCATTACCTAAATGTATATGCTTTGCCATCTTTGAAGACCTACACTTGATTTATTCTAGGACCTTTTTTGAGGCTAACAATGATCTAAAAGTGTTCAGAAGTTATATGTAACTGGGTTGGCATCCAGGCTCCAGTTTAGGCTTTTGAGTAAAGTTTTTTCAGTTTACCTTTTGGTCTTTTTCTGTTGAATAGTTTAAGCTAATTTGTACGAAGTAATATTTTTCTCACAACTGTAGTTTCAAATCTCACAATTACAATAAAAGTTTTTCTGTTTCAAATTTACCCGTAACAATTCCAAATTTGGAAACATATAGAATGAGGGGTGGATCCAGAGGTGAAGCCCGGTTGGCATTAGGGAGAAACTGGAAACTAAGTCGGGCTTACGGTTCCGGTTCTAAGCCAATTCTGGTGCGAGTTTATTTACCTTATTTTTCAAAAAAACTAAACAGGCTCAAATCTATCAATTCTGGTCCGTGAACCAGTATTGAGCAATTCCCGTTCGGAACCGAAATCTGGGCATCCGGCTCTGCTACTCACTGCTCAGTTCTGGTTTATTGCAGTTCTTTAAACGATACAGGGTCTACCCCAAACATTGTATGTGTGATGTGTCTATCTGAGTGTGACAAGTTGACAACCATGTCTCTTTATATACTACCAATATTCACTAAACTATATCCCAGTAAGTGAAAAAAATTGAGCTTGGATATGTAAGCTGGCAATAGCAGAAGCACGAGGCTAAATGCAGGTGTCCTGAGCCCATATGGGAACCAATGCCATAATTTTGGTTCTCAAAAATACAAACAGCGATCTCATCTTCTATGCAACATTGGTTGATATAGTAGGAATGGATATCAAGCAATGGTGGTTGGCTAGAAGTTCTGATATGGGGAGAGGGTGTAGTAAACCAGGAAAAGTGGGAAAACTGGGTCTACTGTTAGTTCTCATTCTAATAACCCTAGTCACTTACCGTTTTCAGTTCTTGAATGGGCAAGACACAAATTAAATGAGTGATTTGGTGGGGCGATTGACCAGGTGGAAAACTAGGTCCTGGTGGGGCGATTAAACGAACAATGTACCTAAACACGGTACACAATTACAACCCATAGATCAAGAATATGGTATGAATTGTTTAACCCTACTTCCCTGCTTCACTGCTGAACAGATTAAGGCATTAACCATTTTTGGTAACCCGCAATCCTCTTGTGACCCCATTGTAGGTGAGTTTGAATCCTTGTCTTTTATATCCTAGACCAACAAATCATGTCATGGAGGAATCTTGAATGCTTCAAAGATATTCAGTGATGGCTACAAAAGAAGGATTAGTGATTCAGTATTCTTGTCCCACTCAATTTTGTGTAGCATGTCTTGTAGCTCTGCATCTCTAATCTCTAAATTTCACAGCATTTTGATTTCGATACAGTCACTAGGTGATGCTTTAAACTGATTCTTTTTGTCCATAATATATGCCCTATACAAGGCTTTTGCTCAATAAAGCTAATTGAGGCAGATGAGGCGAGTTGGAGTTTACTATTTTCAGTGGAAACCATTTTTCTTTCTTCTTTTTTTTTTTACTTTTTTTTTGTAGTGGCGGGGCAGGATGGTATAATTGAGTGAGACGATAGAAAGGATATTTTTTGAATTTTTCTTTATCTTAATTAGTTAAACAAAATTGAAATTTGGGATGAGCCGAGGTCTGGATTGACACTAGGGCTTTAGCTACGCCTTCACTTAAATGAGACTAATAGAGTTATAGATTTGACACATGTGTCGTACATATTTAAAAAAAATTAGTGGAAACCATCTACTCATATTTATACGATGAAGTGTTTGCATCATGATAATAATTAACCAATTTTGATACTACGACCTAGGCATGGACCGGTCCCGGGCCGGTCCTGGGCGGGCTTTTTGGGTTTGGCTTTGGGCCCAGAACTGGCCCGGGTTTCCACTGGGTCCGGGCCGGTCCCCGGGCTTCTTTCTTTTTTTTTTGCTTTTCTAATTAAACCTCGACCCCCCTCACCCCCCAAACCCCCCGAAAACACCCTGCCCATCCTCTCAAATATGAGCACTAATAACTTTTCCAATATGCATATGTCTCGTTCACGTACCTCAAATTTGATAAAACTTTTAATTTATGTATGTTGAGGTTAATTCAACACAAAATTAGTGTTCATATCTTTAAGAATATTCACTCAAAACAGGAATCAGGTATGACACATTACTTTGGTGTGAAAAACTGAAAGGTAGAAATCGTAAGACTTATGCAGGGTTTGCAATTGTATTTGTTTAAAAAAAAACACTTTTTGAAGTGATTTTGGAAAAAGTGTTTAATAGTAAAAGTTGATAGTGTTAAAAAAGTGATTTTGAAAAGTAAAAGTTGGTAGTGTTTGGTAAAATAAGTATTTTCTGGAATAGAAAAAGTAATAAGCACTTTTCACACAACAGCCGAAAAACGCTTTTTTAAGTAGATGTTGTTACTTGAAAACATTAATTTTAGTTTTTTAAGCCAAAATCGAGAAGCGTTTTTTAAGCTATTGCAAACAAACCCTTATCAAGAAGAAGGTCAGGAACGTTTTTTAGGGGGTTAAATAGGTTATCCAGAACAGGACCCTGAATTTTTAAAAATTCATTAGGATTATATAGTAATTATACTGCACATATTAATTCTAATCAATGACAAATATAGATCTATCATTTTTTCATTGGTCCTTTTAGTTCTATTTTACTCAAGTTGCTTGAATAATGAGTTTTGTTGCTTTCAATTAAGTATTAAGTAAGTTTTGGAATTTTTATCTTTACATTATTTAATGAGTATTCAATTGATTTTAGTACAAAATCAAAGTGAAGCTGTGAAGGGATGTCATATTTAATTTAGGAAAAATTGATAGTAATAATCCCAACTATTGGCGGTCCGCTCATAATAATCCCAACTATTGATTATTACAGAATAATCCCAACTTTAGGGACCTTCCGCCAATAATGGTCCATATGAATAAATTCTTGTAGTTTTTAAAGTGGATGAGATGAGATATAACAAGTAATCCCTATAAATAATCGCAACTTTTAATTTTTACGCTTAATTTCTATTTAAAATTCACTTTTTATAGAGGTAATATATGGTCATGGACCATTATTGGCGGATAGTCTATATAGTTGGGATTATACAAAAATAATCAATAGTTGGGATTATTTTCAGCGGACAAGCAATAGTTGGGATTATTGTTTTCAATTTTTCCTTTAATTTATAGGACAAAAAGGGTATTTTTTTAATTATTATCCTAATGGGACACATGTAGGCTTATACAACGGGATACAAAGCAGGGAACACTAAGGGCCTGTTTACTAACAGAGATATTTTCTTTTTTTCTACTTCTGTTTTTCGTTCTCCAATTTTCTGTTTTTATTTTTCAGTTTTTCTATCTCCAATTTTCTGTTTCTATTTTTCAGTTTTCCATTCTCAAATCTGAAAACATGTTCATCAATTTTTTCACCCAGTTCTCCAATTCCACACCCTTGAGTCCTTGACCCATACCCCTACCCTTACCACGATCTTACTCTACCCATACTCCCCCACAACCCTTCATACCCACCCATACCTACTCGTAGGGGTCGGGGTAGGGAAGTTATGGGTGGGGGTGGTGTAAGGGGTATAGTCGGGGTGGGGTGGGGTGGTAAGGTCTAGGGGTAGGGGGTTAGGTGGGTTAGGGTTCTGGTTAGGGGTAAGGGTGGGGTAGTGGGTAGGGTTGGGGTAAGGTAGGGGTAGGGTGGGGAGTTGGGATAGGATGGCGGTAGGGTGGGGCCGGGACCAAGGTGGGGCCGATGTAGGGAAGGGGTATGGTGGGGGGTAGGATGGTGGTTAAGGGTGGGGGTAGTGGGTAGGGTTGGGGTTGGGGTAAGGTAGGGGTAGGGTAAGGAGTTGGGATAGGATGGCGGTAGGGTGGGCCCGGGATCCGGGTTAGGCCGAGGTAGGGGAAGGGTAGGATGAGGGGTAGGATGGTGGTACGAGGGTGGGGGTAGGATGGCGGTGGGGTGGGGCCTAGGTAGGGGGCATGTCGTAAGGGGTAATATACGGGTGGGGGTCCCTAGGGTGGGTCGGGGTGGGGTCGAGGTGGTAGGGGTTAGCGGTAGGGTGGATCGGTGTGGGGCTAAGGTAGGGGGCATGTGATAGGGGGTGGGGTAGGATCATTATAGGGAAAAATGGGTATGCGGGGTAAGGTTGGGTGGGTAGGGTAGGGTAGGGTAGGGTAGGGTAGGGTCGGGGTAAGGGGTAAGGTACGAGGATGGAGGTACCGGAATGGAATCGACATCGGAGCGGGACCGGACCCACCACTAGGTGTAAGTATGCAAATTCATTGCGGCGGCACTTTAGCATCTGCGTTTTCCAAATTTGGAAAACTAGTAAAAGTCACTTTTCTAAATCATTAAGGAAAAGAGAAACATGTCTCAGTTTTTCTGTTTTGGAAAACGATTTGGTAAATCCGTTTTTCTTTTTTCCTTTCTCCAGTTTTCCAGAAATTTCTTTGGTAAACACGTTTCCTGTTTTCTGTTTTCCAGTTTTCCAGTTTTCAGGAAAACTAGAAAATATTTCTGTTAGTAAACAGGCCCTAATATTTCGAGAAGCGTTTTTTAGTCTTACCCGTTGGGCCTCGGGAACACTAATATTTCGAGATGAGGTCCATTATACTCGCAATAAAAGAAATATCTAGGTAATTTATGAATGATTTTTTTTAGTTCATAAAATGTCCTTTTTACTGATGGTAAAATTATATTTATTGTAGTACTTGACAATGTGGAGTCATTATAACTCTTCGGTAATAGAGTAAATTGATGGTAAATTATTTACGAAGTAAAAAGAGAGAGAGTTTTACTTTGAGATATAAACTTCTTGATAAAATTCATGTAATATTAGCAAAAGTGTTTATGAATTCCAAATATGACTGTTATGTTTTTTTCGAAAATAAGATTAAAATGACAATATTTAATTCCATTTTGGAGTTATCATTTTCAAGATAATTGCATTATTAGGCATGACATGAAAGTACTCACTATCATTGATGACAACTAGTTTTTCACTCGTGCGATACATGAAGTGAGAGTTTTTATAAAATGAAAAAGTGAAAATGTTATTCTTTTCATCCAATAATATATCTTATTTTGATTTGGAAAGGCGATTAAAAGGTAGATTTTTTTGTTGTTAAAAGTTGGGACATATAAAAAAAATCTTGAAATTTATTTTGAGATAAA